TATCCTATCCTATCCTATCCTATCCTATCCTATCCTATCCTATCCTACCCTATCCTACCCTATCCTACCCAATCCAATCCAATCCAATCCAATCCTACCATCCATCATTGTGCTGCTGAGCACACCAACCCAGAGCAATGCAGGTGACCACAATCACAGAATCACAGAATGGCCAAGGTTGGAAAGGACCTCAAGGATCATGAATCTCCAACCCCCCCGCCACATGTAGGGCCACCAACCTCCACATTTCATACTAGGCTGCCCAGGGCCCCATCCAACCTAGCCTTGAACACCTCTGAAGTTGCCTAACTGTTTGGGTCTATCTGAACATACCACTTGTGGCTGCACATTGTCTCCATCCCAGCCAGGAACAGGTCAATAGGCTCAGTATGCCAGCTCTGACCCAAGCACATGTTCATTTGGAATACAATGGCTGGGGGTCAATGGGACCTGTCCTGACCAGCAGTTGAGTTGGGCCCCATGCTTTTATTTGCTGTCACTGCGTGGTTTGGTGACCACATCTCATCACCCAAAGGCACTGACGGTTGAATGAAATCCTCATTCCTCTTTCACCAAGGAGAAGTCAAACAGGGAACACAGTGCACCCAAGGTGACACCACCCCACAGGGCTACACACAGAGAGAGCCACAGGGAGTTAATTTTAGCTGGTATGATGCTGTGTTTTAAATTTAGGAGTAAAAAACAACGTTGATAACACACCACTGCTTGAACTGTTGCTGAGCAGTGCTTACACTAAGCCAAGGACTTTACAGCTCCTTGTGCCGCCCTGCCAGCCAGGAGCTGGGGATGCACAAGTTGCTGTGAGGGGGAAAAGCCAGAACAGCTGAGCCAAACCGGCCAAAAGGGTATTGGATGGCATGTCATGTCATGCTGAACAGTACGTGTCAGGGTGGGGAGGAGGGAGCTGCTGCTGCTGCTCAGGGACTGGCTGGTATTGGTCATTGTGTGGTCTGCTGGGCACTGCTTGTTTTGGATAGATATGTGTATATATCTACGCACACATATGTATGTTTATTCATTATTATTATTTTCCCTTCCAGCTGGAAGGCCGCACGGAGTCCCTCCATCCCTCAGCCCCACGAGGTGGCAGCAGGAACCCACGGATGGAGAATTGAGTGACGGCCAGGTCAACCCGCTCCAAGTGCGGGGCTGTGAGATGGGATCTGGATTGGATGGGCTCCCATGGGAGGGGTCCTTCCTGGGGTCCCACCCCGGGTTGGTTTTCTCCCGCAGCATCTTCATGAGGGACAAAGCACCGTCTCACTTCATTCCCAGATGACTCACTGAGATGTTCCCCATCACACAGACATACCTGGGGGCACATCCTCTCTCAGCCTCAGTGTCCTGGCCAAATTACATTGACAAAAAGGGGCCCCGTGTTCTGATTGTGATCCTTCCCCGGAGCCTGGCACTGTGCCCCCGCCTGCCCCGTCACCACGGGTCGGTGCAGGAACCAGAGGTCCTGCAGAGTATGGGGTGAATGTGGGGGAGCTGAAATGAAATGGGACACATGATGGGAGAGGGCTGAAGCACAAGGCTGGATGCTCCCAGGGGGAAGGACCAGTTCTGGTCAGCCTGGAGCTGGTGCAGGAGCAGAGTGGGGAATTAATCTCAGCAGAAGGGCTAACATGAAGATTTCCCATCTCTTTTTTCTTTTTGTTTTCTTTTTTTTACTTTTTTTTTTCTTTTCCCCTAACTGCTTCTTTAAGACAAATAATCTACTCTCTTGAATCTGGACTAGGAAATCCAAATCCCTCCCAGTTCTAAAGAGTGTTTTCAACATATAGTGCTCCCAAAACACCAGGCTACTCTGGATGCTGGCTCTCAGATTAAAGGGCAGTGGAATCATCTCATCCCCCAGGGCTTGGCCCTCGTGCTCAGCTAACACACACACACCTCCCATCAAGAGATGTGGACAGTCCTGACGGACAAGGATGCTGAGCTCATCTCACCTTTGCCCTGGTCTGTGAGCCCACTGTCCCTTGCTGATGAGGTCCAAACCCGACACGTCTGGCCAAAGGTCTGCACAGAGCCAAGCAGAGGGACCTCACTTTTCCAGACACTCCCTGATTTTCCTTCCTGAATTCCCTATGCCCCACTGAGCTGCATCCACCCACAGCCCTTCTGAGCCCTCCTCCTCTCCTTCCAGCCCCATGCACTGCCCTGGGATGCTCTGCACCCATCCCACAGCCCACACAAGATCTGTCAATCCCTGTGACATTTTCTTGACCCGTTACACCCCACTCTGCTCCCTGCCTGTGTCCCTGGTGCAGCACTGGGTACCACTACAGCAACAAACCAACAAAGAGCCCAGAGGGATGGCCACAGCCCCATCAGGGCTCCTGGCCACCAGCAATGCCTGTGTCAGGCTGGATCCTTTCCCTGCACCAGGTGGATTCACAGTGATGTAAGAAGGTTTTAAAGTATATCCGTGGATTCATCTTCTCTCCCTCTCCTAGTAATGGGTTCAGGATGTTAATTAATAGCTAACTGCTTATGTCTTGCATCTATCAAATGTCTCAGCAAGGAGCCTCCAAGTGTTTTGCAGACACTGGTTACCATCCCCTGATTGGAAGCAAGGCAACCACAACCCAGAGCAGCTATAGGGACTTGCTGGTGCTCAAAGCCTGGGGCAGCATCTCCAGCAGCCCTGCTCCAGCAACCATCCCACCCTGCTCCTCCTGCCACTGGACTGCCTCCAAGCTGCGGCCTCTTAGCAAACCCTGCAGGCAAGCTGCCTATAAGTCAGAGCCCAAGGCGGGGAAACAAAGAGTTAACCAATATCCTGATGGGCTGGTGAGCTCATCAGAGCTGGGATATGCTCCACCGTTCATTAGACTCAACAGAGCCCAGTAGACAACATTCAGAGGGCTGCAGGGCTGAAGGCGAGCCTGGGAGAGGAGGGCAGGGTGCCCTGCTGCAGCCGTTCCATCTGTGCCACCGTTGGTGGTGGGCAGCCATCGTCCGCCCCCCCCATGTAAGTAGGATGGATTTCCATGGGTTTGGTTCTGGGGTGGCAGATGCAGCGTAATAAGGGTGGGGGTCATCCTTTTGCTGAGCCCAAAAGGGGGTTCAGGAGTGCTCTTTGCTCATCAAGGCTCTGAGCACATCGGTGGGGCCAGCCAAACTCCGGGCGATGCTGAGAAGCTGCTCCCAAGGGATGCAGGAGGTTGGGCCCAACCCAGCTCCACCACACCAGCAAATGGACACTGGCTCCAGCTTGGCTTACATCCCGGATGTGGTGGGGCTTGGAGGAGGTGTACGATCCCCTGCCACCAAGCCTCGTTTCCCCAGCCCTGTTCTCAGAGCAGAGCCAGCCTGTCCACAGGGCCAGCACCAGCCATGGTGAGGTACGGGAAGGGCAGGTGGGAGGATGGGGCTGTACACACCTCCATCTTCTCCCAGAGCAGAGCCTGCTGAGCCCAACGGGATCTGTCCCTCTCTGTGCTGACCTATGGGAAGTGGAGCACCCTGAGCTCCCTGCTGCTTTTTCTGTGCGTCGGGGGATGCTCGGTGCAGCCAGACAGAAGCAGAGCTCAGCATGGTGAGTTGGCGCTCGGTCCTCCCAGGTCGCCTGTGTGACCCCCACCTGCCCCTCTTCTGGGTGCTCCTCAGCCCCCCTGGCCATGGGGATCTCGCACTGCTCACCGTCCTCATTTTGAGAGGGCCCTGGGGATGCTGGCTCACTGATATGCACTGCTCTCTTGATTACTTTTGAACCTGATTGATAGATGCTGAATTAAATTTGGCTGAGGCATGGCATCTTGACAAGTTTCTGCTATGAGCTTGCATGTACCTGTCCACGCAGCCTCCTTCCCCAACCACCCCACCATCCCACATGGACTCTCCGGAGCATCTGGTCCCTTGTCCCAGCAAAGAGTGGGGGGTCCTGTAGAGAGGGCAGAGCCAAGAGTCAGACTGAGGCACCCCAGGACATCAGGAAAAGCCATGCCCCAAAAATGTCCTTGGCTGGGCTGGGGATGCTCTGCTGTTCTCGGAGGGAACAGGGGCAGCAGTTAGGTATTGAGATAAGAGCAATGTGTAAGAAGCTCCTGAAGAATCAGAGCTGCTTCCCCATGGGAAAAGGAGATGGACAGGCTGGGGACTTGTGGGACTAGATCCAGCCTTAGCATGTCCCTGGGTCTTCCAAGGGGCTCAGTCCATATCTGCAGGCTGGCTGTGGCACCCCATGTCCTGGCTGCTCATCTGCTGCTCTCAGACTCGGAGGTATCACAGGGATTTTTGGCCTCTGTGGCAAAAGACAGAGCAGACAGAGCAGAGAGCTGCCCCTGTGTGAACACAGAGATGGGCAGGAAAATTAAATCACTTGTAGCCAGATTTGTTGGGGTCCTCAGCAAATGAGATTCTCAAACAGCGTGCAAAGCACTGGGAGAGCAAAAAGGGAGAAAGCATCACTCCTCCTTCTGTCAGGGATGGAGAAAGACCCCGGTATGAGCAGTGCTTGCAGGAGCTGGGGCAGCAGTAGCCAGCCATGATATCTGAGATGTGCTCTGGAGGCATTTGCAAGGCAGCAAATGGTCATCTGCGGATGCTCTCTTTACAACAATAATTATTCAAAATGTGGGAGAAACCTGATAGCATTATCCTGCTGGGCTGCTCAGTACGAGCATCATGCATCTTCCAATGTGAGCACATCTGGGATGAATTAGGGATGGAGTATGGGCAGAGCAGGAGCTGAAATCACATTAGCTCTCCCAAGAGCTGCAGACACATGCAGAGCTTGCAACCAAACTCCTGGCCACGTGTAGAGAGTGAAACCTTTCTTGAGCAAACAGAAGGGAACTACACAGCACCTCACGCAAGGTGTTATAAAAATGATCAGCATCTGAAAATTGTGGTGAGAGGAATGGTTATGCCAGAAAATAAAAGGGAAAAACAAATCCAGACTAGTGCAAATGCAAGCCTGGTGGGAAGAGCAAGGTTTCTGCAGGAGCCCACCATTATATCTCTGCAAAGTGGAGAGGAAGGCGCTCTGCAGGGCTCAGTGTATCCCAATAGTAAGCAGGGCATCGATGAGTAGGGAGCTGGGAGCTGGGAACAGTGCTGGGGCTGCAGGCAAGGACCTGGGCAGCACAACAGGGCTGAGTGAATTAAAATCATACAGTGGCTTGAACATAAAAACTCTCCACAATGGATGCTAGAATAAGAGAAAGACAAGAAATGCCATGACTGTGAAGGAGGAAATCTTGGGAGGAGAGTCACCAGAGGCCATAGCAGATCAGGATGGCAGGATGAGTGCCCTGCTCTGCCCCACCTCTCCTGGTTTAACAGAGTAGGGGAGAGCTGCAGATGGAAGGGATACAAGCACTGAGCTCTGCTTTTATTTTTTGTTTGTTGGTCCAATTTTTGCAAATCTGAAATGGCACAAAATATGTCAGTGCCACCAGGTCTGCATTTCTGCAGCAGTGCTTGAGTGTTTCAGTAGTGGGAGTAAACAGCAAAAATTACACTAGAACAAACCACAAACCTGGGAAAGGAACATGGGTGAAAGGAATGAGGGGGGTGTCAGCACCCTGGGGTGGGCACAGGGCCCAGCACAGCCCAGCTAGGGATTACCTGCTGTAATGGCCCAGGTAGGGATCATTAGGACTTCAGCTCTGGAGCAGTTTTGTGGCTGCGCGTGCCTGCATCGTGGTGCAAGCCTTAGCATAAAGCAGCAGCAGCAAAAAATAGGCTGGAGGCACCAGGCTCTGGACTCATCTCCTCTGCACCTCACCATAGCAAAGCAGGGTGCAAACCTGCAAACCCAGTGCAATAGCACTCATGGTGCACGTGTTCCTGGGAGCACAGACTGCTGTGCCTGAGGGCCTGGGCAGGGTTTTGGATGAACTGCCCTGGATGAGCATCAGGCTCACAGCCTGCACCGTGCTTAGAGCTGAGCTCAGCATGCCCAGCCCTGCAGCACGCTGGACCCTGCGGGCCTCCCTGCCAGCTCCACGTCCTGCTTTCCCCTGCTCCGATGAAACGGTGGTTAACATAATGCACTGCATTTCCCATTTATCATAATGATTTCCCCATGCTAAAGTCATGCTGTTTCTGGGAAAATGCATTTCCTCCTCAAGTAGGTGAAAATCTAATGCAGGGGCAGGGCTCCTGAGAGAGCCGCAGGGCTGACCCCAGCACTGCAAAGCACAGCACAGCTTTTGGCATGAGCTGAGATTCCTCCTGCAGCCTTCCCAGACCCACCCCTGCTGTGGGCTGTTTCCCCTTCCCCCAAGCCAGTTCAGGCTGCCCAGGGGCCACCCATGGCCTTGTGCACCTCCAGAGATGGGGCATCCACAGCTCTGGGCAGCAGTCCCAGGACCTCATCACCTCTGGGTAAAGAAGCTCTAAGGAAGGGACCTGCCCCAGGGCAGGTGTTAAGGTTAGGGGTGGGGTGGGCAATGGGAGTCCCACAACAGGCAGGCAGCCCTCCTCCCTGCAGGATCCAGTCGCCTGTCCTTAAATGTGCTGCTCATATAAGTGTGGTGCTCTTCTCTCCCTGCAGCACAGCACCAAGCTTTCTCCAATCTTTAACTTGGCCAAGGGCATGCACTCATTGATGACTAGATGGACAGCACTCAGTCCATCCTCCAGCACCAGTCCTCTGCTCTTTTTCTTCTGTCCACCCTAGGTCTCCTCCTCAGATCCTGCTGTCATGGAAAATCCCCCCCAGAGCCCTAATGGGAGCCTGAAGTCCCCCCCGTCCAAGGAGCTGCTGACCAGCAACACGGCCAGCACGCTGTGCATCAGCTCCCGCAGCGAGTCTGTCTGGACCAATACCTCCAGGAGCAAGTGGGACATCTACCACAAGCCCATCATCGTCATGTCCGTCGGAGCTGCCATCTTCCTCTTTGGAACAGTCATTACCACCTTGTCGTGCTTTGAAATCAAGAACAAGAATGTGTACAAAATGTGCGGCCCTGCATTCCTGTCCATGGGACTGATGCTCCTTGTCTGTGGCCTCGTCTGGATCCCCATCATCCGCAAGAAGCAGAAGCAGAGGCAGAAGTCACACTTCCTGCAGAGCCTCAGGTCCTTCTTCTTCAACCGCTGAGCACCTCCCAGGAAGGCCCCACCCCACTCGTCATGTTAGCCGTAAAAAGAAGCGTTCTCGTGTACTCTCCTAGAGGAATTCATCCCAGTCCCTTCCCTATAAGACAGGACATGCTGTACCATCCCCAGCATGAAAGTGAACTTCATATTTTGCCCAGGGAATCTCAGAAAAAAAGAGATCAGGACTTGATGGTGAACCCAGTGCCCCGCATCACCTCACCATGCAATGGCCAACCCAACACATGCTGTGCAATGGCCAACCCCACATGTGCCATGCAATGGCCAAACCAACACATGAAGGGGAAAGCAGAGCTTCTGGCAGCCTCCGTCAGCAGCTTTTGTAGGGCACAGCAGTGGAGAAGAGCCAACCTACCACGGTGTGGGTAAAGCTGCTGTGAGCACTGGACTTCACGTCTGGAAAATGGGATGTCCAAGGAGGCATCTCCAGAGTTACAGAGAGGGGCAGCAGGACAGTATGGTCCCGGATCTCTTCACAGCAGAGACCACCAGGATGGGCAACACATGTCACCAAAGCTTGGGAAGATCAGACATGGGCTCCATGGCTGGGAATTCCTCAGCGCAGATCTGCTATGGCAGCTGAGCAGAATGGCTGTGGGCCAGAGCTCACTCTGTGCTCAGGGTGCAGCACTCACACAGCTTCGCCTGAAATGAAAATTCCCAGTCTAAAAAACCACTCTGTCTGGACAACAAAACCCAGGTTAACATAATTGGGTGCATGATATTCTGCCTCTAATTCTGAGTGGGACTCTGATTTTTCAGATCCAGCTCACCTCCCACAGCATCCCACCTGGGAAGACCTCAGCCCAGCAAGCTGTGGCTGAGTGCCTGGAGCCCCATGCAGGTGAGAACCCAGCTCCAGGGCTGGGCAGGACACAGTTTGATGCTGATCAGAGGCAGAAAAGGGGCACAGGAGAGGAGACCCCACCTGCACCTCCATGCAGCATTTCCACCCCCTCCCATGGATCACTCCCTTAAAGCAGTGGGACATTCCTGGGAATGAAGACAGGTTGGTAAAGGCGTACAGCAGCTCTGCAACACCCTGCTCTGCATTTGGACAGTGGACATCAGCACAGAGCAACTTCCTGTTGATTTGGATGCCACATCCCTCAGGAACTGCCACCACAGACATGCTGGGAGCTCCGGATAACACCAGAAGACCCACTGAAAGCAGAGATTGGTCTGCAGATATGGCCCAAAGAGCCCACAGCTCAAAGACTCATGATGCTCCCCCTGGGATGGGAGTAAGGTTGGCGGTATGTTGGCTCCCCTGTATGATGGGGAGCAGCAGAGGCAGCTTCTGGCCCGCAGCTAGCACGAGATGCACGTGCTCGAGGAACACATCCTGCTGACCCAGCTTGGCTCTGCCCCAAGTTGTGTTTCCATGCAGTGCACACGTGTCCCCCGCTGGTGCCAGCTGGTGAACGGGGTGTTGGAGGTGTGTGGTCTGGCAGCAGACCCAGCAAACCTCCTCCTGCTCCTCAGTCATTCATCCCTCTGAGCTGTGCTCTGCTGTTATTTTCGGTGCTGGCTTGGCACCACGCTAGTTCTCTATTGATTCAGCTGCAGTGGGCACAGGCTCACCCCAAGCTTCTGCCCAAGGATGAACTGCAGCCAGAAAAGCAGGTGAGCAGCAGGGCTGTCATGGAAGAAATCACAGAGCAGTATAAGGGACGGGGACACAGAGTGGGGTCCTGTACTGCACATCTTGTAACCAAGGAGACAACTGGTGAAATATCGATGGGATAAGGAGTCACTGAGATCAGAAATGTAACAGGATTCCATGCTGGTTATTTGTAACAAGAATATTTGATTTAATTAAAGCAGAAATATCTCAAGGGTTTCACCTTGCTGCTGTTGTGCTTCGTGCCTGCTGCAGGAGGGGAGCTGGCTGTCCCTGGGGTGTGACAGGAGGCAGACCAGCAGGGCTGAGGCCATGGGTTGGCCTGGGGCTCTGCGCTGGGATCTGCCCAGGACCCTGCATGTGAAGGTGGCACAAGAAGGGGTCAGCAGGGGATGAAGACTGCACAGATGAAGATTAGGGCAACAGCCCAGGCAGGGGTCAGCAGAGCTTGGGTCTGCTTGTCTGAGCTGTAGGGGTCAGAGAGGTAAATAGTAATTGAAGGCAGAGCTGGATTTTCAGGCTGAAGCTGAAGGTGCAGACAGAAGCCCAGCAGGAGGGTGGGAACACTCCACTGTATGAGTGATCAACGCCTGAGTGATACCCAGAGGCTGGGTGGGATCTGCATTTATGTGTGCAGTGCAAATCAGTCCCAGCACTGGGAAATGTTCACAAAGGCTTCACTGGAAGCTGACACCAAGTGCATGCCCTGACACAGCCCAGCCAACATCACAGGGCCTCTGAGGAGAGAAATCTTGTCTCTGTGCTGTGCCATGGGATCAGAGAACCTCTGTGTCACGCTGCCTTGGGAGGCTGCAGGGATGGGAGTTGCCTTGGGGTTCAAAGCAGGGTTAGGACAGCAGATCCCTAAAGGGATGATAAAAACAAGGGGGCATCCAGCACCGTGTTAGATGGCCATCCCCAGGGCACCTCCTCCTGTCGCTGCTGGAGCAGCACACAGCTGAGGCACTCTAGGTCTGCACACACAGTTCTGGTGCCTTCGGGCTATTCCCACGTATGCACAAAGCACAGCTTTGCTGCTCCCTGTGCTCATCTCTTCTCCCCCTGCAGCCTGTTTGAATCCCACTGGGATGCTTCAGATCAGAATAAAGAACAGACACATGTTGTGAAGAAAATACTGGATCAGGCAACAACAGCAGTCCTGACCAACTCTCATTAAAGCTAGGTCCAATGTGATCTGCTTCCATGCTCTATAAAAATAACAGGAAACCCATCATGAAATTTACTACGTCTGCAGAACAGTTTGGAGGGGAAATGTTCCCCAGTGTGTCTGGGTGACCCCAGCGCTGTGAGCCTGGAGCTGGTGGGACGCTCCCCAAGGTGCTCCCCTCTTAGCACCCCGCAGGGCAGCATCCTACTGGGTTGAGCTGTCACCTCCCAGAAAATCCCCCCATAAAAACCCCAAATCTTTCCTATTTCAGTCCTCAGCAGCGTGAACACAAACTACATTTCACCCACACATGGCAGAGCCCATCAGTCCAGGCACTGGCTCAGTGCAGCAGAGGATTCCATGCCGTGCAGCCCTATCACGTGTGTGCCCCCAGCAGCAGCAGCAGTTGGGATTTTTCCTCTTTTTATCTGATTTTCCATAACTCAGCCTGAACGACAGCAAACACCCTGTGAGCACGGCTCACCATTAGCTGTGGTCAGGCACGTGGGGCACAGAGCCAGGAGAGGAGGGGCCTTTGAAGGGGGCGGGGTCAATGGAATGGGCGTGGCTCTGAGAAATGGGAGGGGCTTGTGGTTGTGGGCGTGGTCTGCTGTGTGAGTGGGCGGGGCTTCGTGCTCCCCCGGGGCAGGCAGTGCTGTGGCTGTGCTGGACTGCAGGCCTCCGCAGAGGCTGATGGAGAAATTCAGCTCCTCCATCCTCGCCCCATCCCATCCCATAGGTAACAGTGCTCCACAGAAGGCCCTGAGGGTCTGTGGGGGACGCCGTGCAGCTCTGCCCTGCAAGCAGGTGGGAAGTGGCAATAGAAAACTATTTCCTGAAGAAACTGGGATGGAGAGACTCAGTCAGCGGGAGCCAGGGCTGTGGGTGCATGCTTCTGTGGTCCATGGAGCAGTCTGTGCCCTCCGTGCCCATGGAAAAGAGCTTGGCTTGTGCCAGAAGGTTTTCTCCTCTTCTGTTCCTCTCCTCTCACCTCCTGTGCAGAATTGGCCAGTGTCACTGATGCTGGGCAAAGTCCTTGGAGGTTTCGCCCAGGTTTGGCTGCAGCCCAGCCAGTGCCTGCCTTCTGGGTGCAAGGAAATATTTTATTAGAAAGTGCTTTCATTTCCTTTGCTATAAAGCTGAGCACAGGTATGGGAAGGACAAATGTTTGCAGAGGTGAAGAGAGCTCGGAAAGTCCCTGCTGGGTGCAGACAGAAAAACCATGGTCAGCCCCCCAAGGCTGTAAAAGTAGGAAGCAGGGTGAGACATGAGAACTTGAGTCTGGAAACCGTCCCTGCAGCTGCTCTCAGTGCAGGGTCAGGTCTGAGCCAGCTCTCACCTGCTGAACCCACTACAGGGCTTTGCCCTGGGGAAAGCAGCCACTCCGTGCCCTGTTTTAAGGATTTGCCTCCCGACTTTGCAGTTAAATAAATATTGACTGACACCTGCTAGCCCAAGATTTTGTCAGAGTGCTTCCATTCATCTGCTCACGTTCCAGCTGCGCCCAGCTCATGTGTAACTGAGGGACGTGCACTCATTGTTCCCTTTGGAGAACTGGTTCACTCTTGCTGCATACTTCTGCAAACCTGTACAGGGCCACCTCCGGGAGCGTGCTCTGCTAACATCATCCTTCCAACTGCAGCACAACTGGGCTAGAAAAAGGCAGAAGAGGTAGGCAGTGCTCTCTGCTTGGTTTTATTTATTTGTTTTTCAATATCTTGGGGAATGAAATGCAGATATCTGCAGTTTTCTTAGCTGATAATTGGAGGTGAATGAACTTCTGGAAACCTCTGGGTTCCTTCCCAGCCTGGGGGAGTGATTTTATTTCGTGTGTCGCGTTTCCGTGAGTGCTATCGCAGGCAGATCGCTGCTCTCACGCACTGGTAGAGCTCAGCACCACAGAGCTGCACCCGGATGAGAACATTTCCCACAGGGCAAATCCCAGATGGGCTTCAAGCATCCAACAAAGTGCTATGCAACATCAAACCTGGGGGAAAACAGGGAGCTGCCATTGCCAGCTTGGTTTCTTGCTCTAACTTCCATGAAACGCAGCCCAAAAGAACTCTTTCTGGCCTGATGGGATCGAGGTGGCACAGCTTTTCAATGCATGGGGCTGGGCTGGGCAGGCCAGGGCTGACTCCAGCTCCTTACATCAGTCCCACCTCCACCTGAGCTGTTTGCTTTGGAGGATGCGATGCATGATGTCCCACCTGGCTGATGTCTGTGGGCATCAGAGACTGGAGAAAGTCAGGCTAGAAGGGGCAGAGAAGTCTTGGTGCATTAAGAGGGATGATGAAAACTGCTTAATAGAATATGGAAGGGCTCTCTGAAATCCAGGGAACAGAAGAAAATGACCTTGGATGAAAAATGAATAGATAGATAAGTAGGCAAACGAAAGGGGAGCTGGATGTTTCTGTGGGAAAGGAAGACAAAGCAAAAATCCCGGTCATCAGAAAGTAACAGGGCTCAGTCTCATCAGTAAAACTGTGGCCAGGGTATCTCCAGCAG